CCACAGTGTGTGCTCAGTAAGTTAAACAGTGTGTGATCAGTTATACCACAGTGCTGTGCTCAGTTTTACCCACAGAGTCGTGCTCAGTAATACCACACAGTGTGTTGATCAGTAATACCCTGTGTGTGCCACCCTAAGTAATTCACTCAGTATGTGCATCTGTAATACCAAAAGTGTGTGATCAGTAATACCACAGTGTACGTGCAAGTTAATACCACAGCTGCTGTGCTCATCAGTAATTACCACAGTTGTGTGATCAGTAATACCACAGTGTGTGCTCCAGTAATACCACCAGTATCGTGCTCCAGTAATCCTACAGGGTGTGCTCAGTAATACCACACAGTGTGCCTTGTTGTGATCGTAATACCACAGTGTAGTGTTCAGTAATACCAGACAGTGTCGTGCTATTAATTCAACAGAGTGTGCCTCAGTAATACCACAGTATGTGCTCAGCTAATACCACAGTGTGTGCTCAGTAATTCTCACAGGATCGTGACCTCAGTTAATACTCTGATGTGTGCGCAGTAATACCACCGTGTGTTGATCTGTATATTCCCACAGGTGTGTGGCAGTAATACCACATGTGTGTGATCAGTAATACCACGTGTGTGTCAGTAATACCACTGTGTCTAGCTCGTGATCAGTAATTACCACGTGTTGTGATCAGTAATTCCACATTGTTTGATCAGTAACTACCACAGGTGTGTGCCCTCTCAGTAATACCACAGTATGTGCTCAGTTAATACCAACGCAGTGTGGATCAGTACTACCACAGTGTGTGCTCAGTGATACCTTGTGTGTGCTCAGTTAATAACGTGCTGTGATAGTTAATTCCCAGTGTGTGTTCAGTAATACCACTGTGTGTGGATCAGTAACTACCAACAAGTGTGTGATCAGTAATACCACAGTGTGTGCCTCGGTAAACACAGCGTGTGCATACAGGTATTACCAACTCACAGTGTTGTGATTCAGGTAATACCACAGTATGTGTCAGTATACCACAGTGTGTGCTCAAGTAATACCCACAGTGTCCGTGATTCGTAATACACAGTGTGTGATCAGCTAAATACCACCAGTGTGTGCTCAGTAATACCCCAGTGTGTGATCAGTAATACACAGTGTGTATCTCCCCCCCAGGCCCCCACAGTAATACCACAGTATGTGATCGTGTAATACCACAGTGTGTGCTCAGTTATACCACAGTGGGTGCTCAGTATACCACAGTGTGTAGATCAGTTATACACAAGTGTGTTGTTACAGTAATACCACTGTATGATGCACTCAGTATTACCACAGTGTGTGATGTCAGTTATATACACAGTGTGTGATCAGTAATACCACAGTGGTGATCAGTAATACCACAAGGATGTGTGATCAGTAATAACCACAGGTTGTCGTTCAGTAATACCACAGTGTGTGATATGTATTACCAACAGTGTGTGTTCAGTTATACCACAGTGTATAATACCAGAGTGCCTGTGCTCAGTAATACTCCACAGTGTAGGGCTCAGTAATAACCAGAGTGGTGATCTGATAATACACGTGTGGGTCAGTAATTAACCCAGTGTGTGATCAGAATACCACAGTGTGTGCTCAGTAATACAACAGTATGTGCATCAGTTATTACCACAGTGTGTATCAGTTAATACCACATATGAGCCTCAGTAATACCACAGTGTGTGATCAGTAATACCACAGTGTTGGCTCAGTAATACCAGTGTGTGTTCAGTATACCAACTGTATGGTGCTCAGTATACCACAGTGTGTGCTCAGGTTAATACCACAGTGTGTGCTCTGTAATACGCCACAAGGGTGTGGCTCAGTAATACCACAGTGTGTGTTCAGTAATACCACGTGTATGTTACAGTATACCAGAGGTGTGATCAGTAAACCTCTAGTGTATATTTACAGAGTTGTGCGCCACATTAATCCACAGTATGTGCTCTGTAAATACCACAGTGTGTGCTCATTAATTACCTCAGTAATGTGATCATTAATACCACCGTGTGGGCCCTCATTTTAATACACAAGATGTGTGCTCATTAATACCACAGTGTAGTGATCAGTATACCACAGTGTGTCCTCTTCTATACATAGTGGTGGCTCATTATAATAACACAGTGTGTGAACAGTATTACCACAGTGTGTGTGCTCATTAATACCACAGTGTGTGCTCAGTAATACACAGGTGTGAACAGTAATACCACAGTGTGTGATCAGTAATACACAGTGTGTGATCAGTAATACCTCAGTGTGTGATCAGTAATACCAAAGGGTGTGGTCAGTAATACCACAGTTGTGTGATCAGTTAATACCACCAAGTGTGTGCATCAGTAAGAACACAGTGTGTGATCAGTAATACCACAGTGTGTGTGATCAGTATACCACAGTGTGTGATCAGTATTACCACAGAATGGTGCTGTAAACACAGTATGTGGACTCAGTAATACCACAGTGTGTGCTCAGTAATACACTTTGTTTGCTCATTAATACCACAGTTGATGTGCTCTGTAATACCAGAGTGTGTGATCAGTCAATACCACAGTATGTTGCTCAGATAATACCCACAGTGTGTGATCAGTTAAATACCACAGTGTGTGATCAGTATTACCACAGTATGTGCTCAGTTAATTACACAGTGTGTGATCAGTAATTCCACAGTATGTGTCAGTAATATTACACTCACCAAACACACACAAAGCACTTCACTCAGACAAACAACACTTCACACAGACTACAACACTTCACACACACACACACAACACTTCACACCCAGCACACAAACACTTCACACCACAACACAACACTTCACACAGACACACAACACTTTCACACAAGACACAAACTCTTCCACAGGACACACAAAACACTTCACCACAGACACACAACACTTCACACGTACACACAACAACTTCAACGACACACAACACTTCACACAGACACACACACATTCACACACACACACTAACAATTCACACACACACACAACACTTCACAAAGACCACACATAATAAAACAATTACACTTCACACAAGACACCACAACAGCTGCACACACACACACAACACTTTCACACAGCACACACAACACTTACACACACACACAAACTTCACACCGGGACACAATCATCTTCACACAGGACACACAACACTTCCACACACACACTCAAAACTTCACACAGACACACAAACCTTCACACAGACACACCAACACTTCACACAGACACACAACACTTCAACACACACCAACACTTCACACAGACACACACACACTTCACACACACACACAAAACTACTTCAACACATACACACAACACTCAACACAACACAACATGTCACACAGACACACAAACTTCACAAACACACACAACACTTCACACACACACATCACTTTCACACACACCACACCAACACTTCACACAGACACACAACACTTCACAACAGACAACACAACACTTCCCCCACAACATCACACAACATTTCACAACACACAACACAACACTTCACACAGGACACACAACACTTCACATCAAACACGCGGCAACACTTCACACAGACACACAACCACTTCTCCACAGACACACAGCAACATTTCACAGACACACAACACTTCACACAGACCACACAACACTTCACACAGACACACAGACAACACTTCACACAGACACACAACACTTCACACAGACACACAACACTTCACACAGACACACAACACTTCACACAGACACACAACACTTCACACAGACACACAACAGCACTTCACACAGACACACAACACTTCACACAGACACACAACACTTCACACAGACACACAACACTTCACACAGACACACAACAGCACTTCACACAGACAAAAAACACTTCACACAGACACATAACACTTCACACAGACACACAACAACACTTCACACAGACACAAAACACTTCACACAGACACACAACAATTCACACAATTACACAACACCACTACTGAAATACTGTGACTAGGAAAACCTTGATGGCCGAGTCCCTGAGTTGGAAAATCCCGTCGACCAAGTGATCATTACCAGCTGGGGAACTCCAGTAATACGTTATGACGGTATACAGGATCACGACGACCCAAACAGCGCTCAGGCAGACTGATGAACCAGGTCTATGTTCATCACTTAGGGGGATTTATTTGCACACGTGTATTATTCAGAACGAACAAACAGGCACAATACTGTAGCTGCAACAGTACATAAATACTCCGCATGTGTCTCACTCTTCAGCTTGTCTGTATTGTATATTGTTAGGTAAGGTTCGTCAGGAAACAGGTGAAGTGCTTCCTGACTTGGGTCTTAAATGATGACCCGCCGTTCGAGCTTTTGGCCATCTGACCGAGGCCTTCCGCTGGCTTATCAGTCCACCCTTTTAAAAATTATATTCATAGTTATAACCATTTTTTATATTGTATATTATTAATAATATGGAACACTGGGAAATTTCATCGCTATGATGTACTTCTAAGAGTGTAAATCATCTTGAATTAGTGGAAGTGAAAGTACAGTAAGGTAAGCTATACCATGGCGGGGATAGAACCCACGGTCAGAGAGTCATAAAACTCCAGACCGACGCGCTAGCCACTGGGTCAGCTGGCTACAATAAGATTCATCCAACTAGGTATATTTATGCACCATAGGAAGGTTAGCACAGGCACCACTGTGACCACAAATGCAAGTTTTTACAGACGACTCTCCCACCAGCGTGGCCGTGACGAGCTCTAGCTCAAGTCCCCTCAAAGGCGTCAACATCGTTCACGAAATCTTTACGATTTAGTGAGTCATGAGTAGAGTAACATCCTACTCTTTATAATAATAATAATAATAATAATAATAACAATGATAATAATAATAATCTTTACAACTATTACAGACCTTGTTGACATACTATATACAAAATCCCTGGTAAGACAGAGCATTCTGGGCAACTTAGGTTAATTTTGTCTCCCAGGATGCGACCCCACAACAGCTGTCTCACACTCAGGCACCTACTTACTCCTAAGTTAACACTGGGCAGCCGGTGTATAGAAAGATACCCAACGTTTCGCCCGTGCCAGGATCAGTCTCTGGACCCTTAGTATGTTAGCTGACGACGATATCAAGCCAGGAACATCCGCAAGAAATCTCAAAAGCGGTAAATACGATTATCCCACAATCTAAAATTAACAGAACGATATACACGGAAGAAATACGCATGTAAATTGATAGACTAAATAGTTAACAACACAATTCTTGACATATTTGCATAAAATAGAAAACGATCTCACGTAGTATTCCTTTCTCCATGCCGATGGAAAACATCCCACGTACGTATAAAGATTGCGAAGAGGCGGGACCAGGAGCTGTGAAATGATCCTTGCAACCACAAATAGGTAAGTACACATCTGATGCAACCTGAGAAGCCAACATTACACATCTGGATGCTGTGCTCTGAACCAGAAGCCTCGGGTATATAAGTGGAGTCCCGCTTCCCTCGTTCTCTGTTACGACAAATCTAGCTTGACGTAACAGACCATCTGAGAGGTTGTAAGGATAGTGCTGGCTCCAGTGACTTGAAAAATCCATCATGAGGGTTCCAGTACTGCTCGTGTTTGGGCTTATGTTAGCCAGGTAACGCTTGATAGACTTTTTTTTGAGCTGATTCTCACCTGTGACTGGTTTCGAGGCTTTTTTACGTACCCTTAAAGCCAAGCCGGAGACTAGATTCCCTTGTAGATTTCCTGATTAACCAGGCTGTTGCTACTTACACACACATCCATCATCAGAAACAGCCTGGTTGACCATGAAAGCACCAGACGATAAGAATCCGCTTCCCTCCTGAAAACGTCTGCCATTGTTCCTACACAATGTATTTACTGCAGCTTCTTCCACACTGTCATAGAAACTATCATATTTTTGTGACTTTCAGCGTGGAAGGGAAGGAGAAGATTGACCAGTGTAAGTCGTGTTCGGTGGTGCGGTGTGCCGGGGGACCAGAGACAATGAAGTGCACTTATGGTATCGTCAAGGACTGGTGTGGCTGCTGCTACACCTGTGGCCTCGTGAGTATCTCATAATGAGAAATACTTTTATATATCTTTCTTATTATAGGGATATAAAAATTTTACTAAAATGATTTTACTCCTTTTCTTGAGGATCTGTTTACCCTAATTATTCCCGTTGAGGCACAAATACAACTTTCTGTCTGAAATACGCCGCATGTTAATGGCTTTTTTTTGTGCTCAACAATATTTTATTACATGCAAACTACATTTTGTAATACTACAGAAAGAGATAAAAGTTTGTTTGTAAATGATTCCAGGTTTTTGTCTTAGTTATTCTCGTAACAAAAGTGCAGATGATCACATATGTTGGTTTTTAAGGATGTTGTAACATTAAATACGGATCTTGCTTTCCTTTTGCAAAAAAAAGTCGTATTAATTAACGTAACTGTTGATTTAACATCTAGTGTATATGATGATGTAAGAGGTTGAATAACTCTTCAGGGTCCAGGGAGTCCGTGTGGCCGCGATGTCGGGGTTTGTGGCACTGGCCTGGTGTGCCGTAATGGTACCTGTGTCCTCAGCCGTATTAGGCAGGGCTAGTCTGCAGCCACAGTTGGAAACCACTTGCTGATTGTGGTAGTAGTCGTCAGTCTAACTGAAACCAGCGTCATCACTCACACCTGCTGATTATGGTAACAGACACAAGCCACCTACTTTCTGCAGTCAGTCATGACCCACACGTTGACTGTAGTAAGAGTTTAGCTTCAGTCAGTCTCACTGGTGACTGTGGCCACCAACCACAACCAGCACCAACTAACCGCCTTCTTGAACATTGTTTGAGTAGAACACTTAACCTTTGTACTTTCTTAATGAAATAAACTTTAATCTGGAGCTTAAACGATGTTTCATTGTTTTCCTGAGCTTACAGGTAAGTTTTCCATATTTTATGTCTTACGACAAACTTTACTTCTAACACAGCCAGTGATCGATGATATAGTAAGGAATCTTGTCATATAAATTGTTTACAAAATCGTCTAGTTGAGGAATGAGACTCTTGTGCAGCATTTTGGGAATTGTTATTGAGGAAACGTGCCTTTTTCAGTCCAATACAGAGAAGAACGATGGAAGATAAGGAGAAGTTATAGGTAATCAGTCTCTCAGCCTGGAGTTGGTGTTCAGTCCATCTATCTGGACGGGCTGAACACATCGACTCCAGGCTGAGGGACTGATTACCTCATATTTCTCCTGATCTTAGTCTTATTCTCTATACTGGACTGAAGAAGGCACTGGCTGGCGGAACGTTTCCTCAGTAAACCTGAAATTTTTCTTAGCTCTTGCGTGTGTGTGTGTGTGTGTGTGTACTCACCTAGTTGTACTCAAGTAGTTGAGGTTGCAGGGGTCGAGTCCAAGCTCCTGGCCCCGCCTCTTCATTGGTCGCTACTAGGTCACTCTCCCTGAATCGTGAGCTTTATCATACCTGTGTGTGTGTGTGTGTGTGTGTGTGAGTGTGTGTGTGTGTGTGTGTGTGTGTGTGTGTGTGTGTGTGTGTGTGTGAGTGTGTGTGTGGTTGTGCGTGTGTGGTGGTGTAAATGCCAAATCTTATATTTTTTCTACTTTTCCCAATTTTGATATAATTTTTCTCGTTATGAGCTGAAACTAAGTGGAATATATCATTTTCTCATAACTATACAGTTTTTAACTATTTCTCAGGATTCTTCTGCCTCAAATATTCTAGTTTTCGTTTGTCACATTTTTTTGTTGTGTATAAGAATTAAAGCCACAACCAGAAGCCGCCAGATAACAAGGATATTGACCACGACACAACAACCAGCCTCAACCAGAGACCAGCGTCTGCCAAGAAGACACCAACATCTGCCAAACAGAAGCAAACACATGCCGGTCAAGACCTTCCAGTCATCATTAGCCAGTCAACACCTGCCAGTCAACACTAACCAGTCAGCACTAGCCAGTCAACACTTACAGTCAGCACTAGCCAGATAGCACTAGCCAGTCAGCACTAGCCAGTCAACACCTTCCAGTCAGCAGAAACTGATCCCCGAGGACCTCATTATTCTTCACGCGATAGCATCCGTGAAAAAGACAAAATGTGCGATCGACGTCTCGTCTACGAAGGATTGGTCAGCGGAAGTCACATACACTCAAGACTCGCCATCCTTCAATGTAGACTACAACAAATCCTCGAGATCGAAGACCTCGAGGATAACTTTGGCTACCATAATCCTGTTGCTGACCTTGCAACATTGCACAGCTCCTAACGACGCACTGAGAAGTGTGAAAGTACTTGAGCTAAAGATTCCCCCCCCCTCCCGTGGCTTGTCTTTCACTGTTAGAAGATCGCCTGTCTGAGAGTGTTTTGCATATATATATATAGATATATATAGATATATACTATATATATATAAAATATATATATATAATATGCAGGAAGATCACAGTAAACAGGTGATATCAGAATATGCAAAACAACCACTGTGAAAGAATAGTGACATTTCATAAGAAAGAAGGAACGCTGCAGCAGGCAAGATTCTAATGCTCTATTTATTCATGTGAGATATTTTAACCATCCAATTGATTTTCAAAAAGATAAAAGTTGTATCAAGCACTCCATGGTCGACACGGAATAGTAATTGCATCTTGTTTCATAAAAAGCAGTTTTGACAATAATATGAATCTTTCCTTTGGTTTATATAAATTAGATTCATATATAATTAATAAAATTTGTGAAGAATTTAATAATTGGACAAATAATAAATTTTAATTCTTGGGTAGAGTACTTGGGTTGGGCAAATATTTTGTTAGTGAGATGTCGTGAGGACTGCCTAGTTGGTCAATGGGCCTGCTGCAGTGTTTCTCCTTTCTTATGAGTCGGGTGTCGTCGCGCATCAGGTGTTTACTTTATTGTGGATGTGATGGTGAGTGTGGTCTCTGCCTCTATATGCCCATCTTGATGTAATGTTTTTAATAGTTTCCTTGATATGTGAACGTCACGAACCTGGAATTTCATTATTCTTTCACAGTGGTTTGTTTTTATATATATATATAATATATATATATATATATATTATATAGATAATATATCTATATATAAATATATATATAATATTTCTATATATATATATATATGATATATACTTATATAATATAGATATTATATAATTAATATATATATATAATATATATATATATATATAATATAATATATATATATATATATATATATATATAATGATAGCGGTATTAAATATATATATAATATACAAAATATATACTTATATATATATAGAAACTTACTTCCTGAGGTTGGCACCCCTTTGACAACCCAACACTCGACGAATAGTACGCACCCCTGAGGTCAACCCTTAAGAAGGCACTGAACCTGTCACTAGAGGATCAAGCAATTGGGATCAGGCAACCCCTCCATTGCGACTGGGAGGTATAGGTGCGCAAAGCAACGCATGATGCTTTACCTGCTTTTTCTGTCTTCAGTGTTTGCTTTCCAGTCATTAGTCACGGCAGATTGTTCCCGAACGCTTGAGAGACCGTGGTAGGAGCTCAAGACCCCAGGTTTACTGAGCGAGCGATTCGTGGCCACCCTCACAGATCCCCAGTAGACCGGCACCTCCAAAGAACACAAACCGTCCCACTGGGACAAACGGATCATGGAAAAAATCGCCAACACGATGCTCTCCAATGCCTCAGGAAAGGACAAAGCTCGTCTCCGTGCAGTGAAGGCACCACACACAGGGATTTCCTGTTAGCTTTCCCACTTCCTCCTTGGGCACTCGACTAGACCACAGGCCATTCGGATTGGTGTTGCTCTTCGCCTAGCCGCCCCCATCCTCACCTAACACATACGTGTATTTACGGCAGGGCGACGCTGATCAATTCGGACTTCAGTCTCGTGTGTCACAACATCCAGAAGGGAAGTATGCCAGCATGAGGAGGTCAATGACATCATAACTGAGAAGCCTCGCCACATCCCATTGCCCAGCTCAACGGGAACCCCAAGTGCGGAGGTTTTGACGGAAGTCAAAAGCGTCCTGATGGAGCCACTTGCTACCTGGGAAGGATGGAAAGCAGTATTGCCGGGACGACACATGTGCCTCGCCACATTGGCATACCACCTACTTGCCATACTCCCGTAGTGGAAAGGGGTGGAGCGCAGCCACAGGAGACCAGAAGATCCCAAATATGAAGACTTCCCCCTTGCTATAACTCATCCCAATAGGGTCGAGACCCTTGGAGCATGGGGCAAGTGTGATCTAAAGTTCTAATAGACTGGTGAAAAGCTCATCATAGAAACCAAGGACCACAGGGCGACCAGCCCTTCCTCTTTCAGAACTCAGTGTTGCATCCAGAGAGTAAATGCCTGCAGCATTCTGGGCACTGGCCACACCCGCCGGGAGCTGGAACAAGTATTCGAGATGTAGCTCTGAGTTACCTATTTGTTTACTTTCCATCGTATTTTTGCGAAATGTTCTTGTCATTGTATTTTTGTCTTTAAATAAAAGATACATAAAATATAGGGGGGGTATGAGAAAATTCCAAACAGCTACAGGGAGACCTTGAAGTTTTCTTCCTAAGCAAGTTTATTCTGTTCTCTGAGGATGAGGGTACCCTATAACAGTTCTAGAGGTGGTAACCTCCCTATATTAGATATATATATATATATATAAATATTATTTATATATATATATAGTATATATATAAATATATATATATATATATATTTATATATATAAAGATAATATATATATAATTTATATATAATATCTATATATATAATATTTAATATATATAATATAAATATATATCTCTTATACAAAACAACCACTCTGAAAGAATAGGAAATTCCAAGCGCTATTCGTGACTACTCCCATTATCAAGGAACTAGAAAGTGAACATCCCAGGAAGCTATAGAAGGGTCGCCAGCACCTCACTATCAGATCCCACAACGGATAACACGTGACGCGCGGTGAGCCAACTTGGATAGGTCCTTTGCAAAACTCACCCCCAAGCTATTTATTAGTCCAGTGTATTATTAAATTCTAACCCAATTCTATAATTATAATGGATCTAATTTATTAAACCAAAGGAAATTTCGATATTATTGGTCAAAACTCTTTTATAAACAAGCTTCAATTATATTCCTGTCCCATGACTTGCTTATACTATTTCACACTTTTTGAAAATCATTGATGGTTAAAATTTTCTTACATGAATAAATAGAGCATTGGATCTTGTTTTCCAGTTCTAATGCTATATTTATTTTGTTTTAATCTTAGTTCGAGAATTTTACCAGTTTGACCGTAATAAACTTATCGGGCAAATTTTACAAGCGAATATTATAGACACATCCATCAGCAATTTTGGGCGAAATTCTTAATCATAAGTTTTTTTTTTTACTGTTATGCAAGATTTTTGAATACAACGTTTAATATAAAAGTCTTAAGAAGAGAAGGCATATGCAACCAAGTTTTCATGGTAAGGGAGAACTTAACTTGACCTCACATCCTCGTAAAAACTCTTCACTGCTTTAAGTAACCTACCTCCTACTACCATACACCTGCAAAACATCTCCACCTTGCCCCTCCTATCCACCTCTGTCACACGCCTTTCCGAAACCATAAATGCCACAAAGAACCTCTTATAAAGCCTTATCGAAATACATTTTCACATTATATGTTTCACTGTAAAACACCTGGTCCAGCACACCCCCCAAAACCTTCCTAAAGCCTCCTGTTCATCTGCAATCCTATTCGCCGTCTTACTCTTTAATTCTTCATAATAACTCTTCCATACACTTTGCCAGGTAATCCTCAACAGACATATCCTCTATAACTTTTCTCTCTCATTTTATCCCCCTTTGCCTTTATA